TCACCCTCCCTGCATTCCTTTTTTTTTTTCCCCAAAGACAATACTTTTTTCCCTACAAGTGATAGTTCTATTGGCTTACGTAGTAGTTTGTTGAAAAGTGTAGGCCAGCTTCCCCTTAGTGAACACAGCCAGGCCGGCTCAACCGGACTCATATTCTCCATGAAGGGCAGGCTGGCTTCGGGCTTACTGAGCATACCACCTGGTGGTGACATCTCTTAGGAAACAGGACTTTGGGCAGAAGACATGTCTCCAGCATTTGACTGTGTGGCAGGGGTTGGTCCTAGGCGAGGCTGCCAGCTCTGGCAGAGCACTGGGTCTGTGTACCTACCCAAAGCTGAACCTGACTCTCCCATGAGTGAGAATCACCGTGAAGGTTCTTAAGAAAGATCAGAGGATGACTCCAAATATAGTATTGCAAGAGAAAGTTCTCCCTCTGGCACACACACACATACACACACAGTTTCTAATTTGTACCTTTCTGGATAGACACCTCTTTTACTCTTTCTCTCTCTCTCTATACGTATATACATATATGTATATATGTATATATAAATTGAATGCATTATTTTCCATCTAGAGGTGATAGACAAAATATATGAATTTATGTCCCATTTGGCAAGGGCACCATCCACCAGAACTATCCCACAAAGGTTGTGCTGCCTGGACAGGCCCCTGGAGGCCCCCTGCTGATGCAGGTTAACGCTTTAAGCGCTGTACTGTGGAGCAGTCCAGTGGAAGCTAGAGACTAGAGAAAGACCAGGGTAGCCTGAGACCAGACAGCTCTCGGCAGGCGGGGTGGAGCCAGGTGAGCGCAGGGAGGTACTCAAAGAGATCAAAGTAGATGGAGGTATTTTAATGTTTAGGAATCGGTAAGGTCATCCTAACCTGCATGGTTGAAGATCAGTGCTGCCCTCACCCCATTCCCCATCAAAACACTGGAAGAAAAAAAAAGAAACAGAAAAATAAGCACAATCCTATAGACTGAGGATATGATTTATTGGTGAAGTACAGTCCTCTAAGCAAGACAAGCTCATTAAAATTTCTGGGCATCCTTCATCAGTGGCCTCTCTCCACACCAGGGCCTGAGGTGTTGGTGGGAACCGTCCCTTGAGGGCTGGGGATGATGGCCCTGTTGGTATGGCCCTCATCTGCCTTCCCTACCTCCAGAATTGCCCTTTTTGGGGCACCAAGGACAGTAAACATCACCACCTGTGGATCCTCGGTCCCCAAGAATGGCCCCTCCCTGGTCCCCAGCTCACAGCGAATTCCACTCATCGTCCTCATTGTATTCTAAACCTAAAGAAAACAAGGCGTCATGCCCAGCAGCTCGTCCATAAAACATTAATCACTATCCACCTCCTTGAGAGGCTCCTGACCAGCGAAGGTGTAACCTCCAAGAATGATGGAAAAATCCTAATGGGTCAGCACATGGCTGCGTCAGGCCATGGGTGGGGGCCCCTGGCACCAGGCCCTCCAGTGCTTTTCCAGACCAGCTCTTGGCTTTGGTTCCAAAGACACTGAGGACTAGCCTGGGAACCCCAAAAGGGAGAGAGCCCTCCCTTCTTCTATCAAATCCCCAAAAGGTACCAGGGTTCTTAAGGCCAAGTCGCAAATGGCTGCCCTAAGCCACCCACACCCTTTCATTCAGGCCCTCTTGGAGCCCCCTTGAGCTTTAGAGATGGACAGTGATGCTGGGACTCGGGCCAGAGTTATGGGCCACTAGCCCCTTTGAGGCCTCATAGCATCTCTGTCTGACCATTTGGCTGACCCCAATCCTGAGTAGCTTCAAAGATCAATTCTTCTTCCATAGACCTCTTAAGAGCCTGGAAAAAGGAATCCCCATGATCCTGGAGGAGAAGGAAATATCAAAAGAGAAATATGAAAAAACGGGAAATATGAGTCTATAAGGATCCCAGATTCCTGAATGTTTAGAATCCCAGGACTGACTGACCTGATGCATGAGGTCATATATATGTGTGGCTAAAAGGCAAGCTCAGGTTGATCTGAACATTCCTCACAGGGCTCTGGCCAATGTCCCCTGTAAAGGACTTCGGAAAAGCATGCGGTCTGGCCAGGGTTCCTAGACTTCAGAGCAGGTGAGGCAGTTATGGAACTGCAACATCTTGCTCTTGTGAGTTTAATGGAGGGACAAATATTCTAGGATTCAGTAACTGCTGGATTACATCCTGCTTCCTTCTGGGCCAAGTGCAGAGGGCACAGCTCTCCAAGCCAGCTGAGCCACCTCCACGTGCAAGTCTCTAATGGACCATGGGGGAGTCCAGTGGAGGAAGTGGCTTGGTTTCTGGTCTCAGCAGAGACCCAGCTGCAAGGGGGGGTGGTGGTGATAGGTGCCATCAAGGCATCTCATGTGTCTGGTTGCCTGAATGCTCAGCAGCAGGGGAGCCAAGTTTGAGTCGTGGAATCTTCCAGGAAATACACTCTCTCCATTAAATGTTGATGAGCCAAATAAAAGAGGGTTCTGGTTGTTCCAGAAGCTCCACTTTAGTTCCAGTTATTCTCCTCAAATCTCTCTTCTGTGCTGGGCTAGACAGAACATAAGCAGAGCAGAATCAGAGATGACCCTTGGGAGACAGAGTACCTGAAGCACTGAACCCACAGGCTGGAAGATGAGAGCGACTCTTGGATAGCCTGGCCTCAAAGTTTTTGGCCCCAGGCCTGAAGGGGTATCTGAGGCCTCTTTGTAGTGCATTATTATCCCTCGGGGTGCAGCATTGTCCTTCCTCTTCTCACAAACCCTGGTGGGAGAGAACAACCTCTGGAAGAGCAAGTTTATTAAATATTTTCCTCCCAGATAGAGGGGCATTCAGGCCTGGAGGACACTGAGGAGGCTGGTTTAGAGCCACTGCCAGGGGAGCAGTCTTGGACCAGGTGGTGCCAATATGTCTCAAGGAGACACCATGGCCAGCTGGCCCTGGAATGAATGGCACTTCTCCTGATGCTGGTGTCACTGGCCATTCTCTTCCCTTCCTCTTTCCTCTCAACACCCTGCAGGCAGAGAAAGCCTGGCTGTCTGGTTGGTCCAGAGCTAAACTTTGTGGTAGTCAGGGCAGAGAGGGTTGTGACTAAAGGGACCAGCACCATATAGTGGAAAGAGCCCAGTCTTTGAAGCCAGACAGAAAAGTTTCAAATCCCAATTTTGCCATCAACTCACTTGGGCAAATCACTTCATCTTCAGGGGCCTCCACATCCTCTATAGGTAGAGACAGTAACCTCCCCCTTCTCAGGGTGCTGTAAGATTAGAAAGGCTATATGTGAGGCCCCAGGGACACTCCTCACACACAGCAGGTCCTGAAGAAACACCAGTTTCCTGACCTCCTTTTCAAGCTATCTTGGCACTAGGATTCTAGAAGTTAAAACTAAATCATTAATAAGAAAATCTCTGCCCTGGAATGTCCAGAGGGTAGTGAAGAAAGAGCAGGGATTGGAAGGAAGATGGCGGGGTGGCCAGGGACCTTAGTGGGGACTGAGAGGGCTTCACACCAGGGAAGATTGGACAAGATAAAGAGACAAGCCAAGAAGGGCTGTGAGAAAGAGCCTCGGCACATCTGCACAGCCTGGCCAGCACCCTCCCACTCACAGCCGCCTGTCCTATAGCTTAGTGGTCAAGCACATGCTTAGCATGCGTGAGGACCTGGGTTCAAAAATCTTTTTAAACCGTATACACATGGCAGCCTGCCCTCAGCCTAGGGGGACTGCAGAGACAGTTTGCATGGGCTGAAGGCCCATGTGCCACTCAGTGGCCCAGTGCACACTGGAACAAGAAAGCCCGCTCCGACAGCACTGATGGCTTTCACAGGCCAAGCCACCCTTGTATCACCGTCCGCAAAGCCCCCCCAGCCCGAGGGAGGCAGGAGCAGCACATCTCTTAGGAGCAGAGTTAGGGTGCAGGACCTTCCCAGTTACCGTTACCTGCTCAGTCCACACTCATGGCAACACCTGCCCATGTGGCCCAGCGAGTTATCCAGGTTGATGGTTCTCGGAGCCTCCCAGACTCTGAGCTTCCTAGTATTGGGCACTAGATTTCCCAGTATAGTCATCCCTGTTTTGAGAAACTAGCCCTAAGTGTGTGTGCATGTCAGGGGGAGTGTCAGGGGCCTGGATCCAAGTATCTGCTTGACAAAGATTTGCCCTGTGACAAGGGGAATGTCTTTGAGTATCCACTCCTCCCAGTCAAATGAAGAGAACCACCCCTGTTGTGCCCTCAACACTGGCACTGGTTGGGAAGGGGTTTTGTGAGCTCCACAGGCCTGGATGGAATCTGACCAGCCCACACCAGCCTCAGGCTGGACATGGACACGTGGAAAGGCAGGAGCAGAGAGAGGGGTCCTTTCATAGCTTCCTGGAGGCAGAGGTCAGCCCACGCTGACCTCTCTTCTCCTCTGCCTTGGGCAGACCCTCCATGGGAAAATGCACATCCTCATTGAATGTGGCCTGGGAGTTCAGAGTGGAGGAGCCTTTAGGCCCCCAAGGCCTTGAGGGACTAAATGACTTCTCCCCTCTTAACTGCAGCAGGTTGTCCTTCCCAAGCCAGCTGAACCTCCCCTGTGCCTGGCATTAACCTCACTCTGACAGGAGAGTCTGTCTCCATCCCCACCCCCAGGGGCTGAGCTCCCCGGGCCCCAGTGCCCAACCTGGGTGCAGTTGGGTGAGAAATGTGAGAGGCAGGCCAGAGGCAGGGATGCCTGGGCCAATCCTGGTGTTCCCTGGGCCCTGCTCTGAAGGGTCAGAGGGCACTCACGGGCTGCCCTCCCCACCCCTGTCACATGCCAGAATCAAAACTGGCCCCACTAGGGGCAGGACCCTGTGTCCCTCAGATGGAGCTCTCGGTGGGGCTGTGCTGACCCTCTGAGACCAGGGACCCTGGCGGCAGGAGGGCAGGCAGTGGCTCCCCCTCGGCTGGGTCCCTAGTGGGCCTGATCTCTCACACCCAGAGAACCTTGTGGGAACCCGGTGCCAAAAGAAGCAAAACGAGAGCCTGCGTGACTATATTATTATTTATTTTCTGAATGTATAATGACATTCCAATTTCAAAGAGACATATGCGCAGAGCAGACAGATGCAAGGTCCTGGTATGCAGCAGCTGGAACAAGACAGGAAGTGGGTCTGCCCTCCTCTCCCTCCAGCACAACCCTCGCTCCTCCCGGGCCCTGACCATTGCCCAGGCAGAAATGCAGAAGCTGGGAATGAGAGGGGCCGGTCTCACGGTCCAGGAAGTAGCCAGAGACATGACACTGGCTGCTAGGCCTGGCCAAATCATTATCTAGCTGTGGGTCCTTAGGCTTCAGTTTCTTTATCTGTTAAATGGGCTAGAAGTCTTTTGCTAGGGATAGGGAAGAGAGTGTGTGGATGTCCCGATGGGCCGTGGCCACGAAAGGCCTCCTGGTGGTCCTGCTGCTTCTAGACACCTGTGTATTGTGCGTCTCAGTTTTTGTCACCATCGTGGCTATGGAACATGGGGAGACCTGCTCTGGCCCTGGTGGAACTGAATGGACTGTGTGGATGGCTCCCCATCAAACAGACTGTGCTTTGAACTGCCCTTGGGCTGTCACCATAGCTACTTCATCAGGTCAAGACCAAACCTCCCCTCCAAATAAGTGAGGAGGGCAGGCTGCGGCCTGGGGAGCCTGCTTGGGTCTCCCTGCTGCCCCACACGCACCCATCAGGAGCTCGGGAACAAGGGGGACCTGTTCCTCCTCCCACTCTGGGACCAGCTCGGGGCTTGGAAACCCCCACTCAAGGATCCATCAGGGGCAACCCCCTCTGAGGGCTGATTCGAACCACGGTCATCTGTCCTCAGGCTTGATAACCTTCAGATGACCAAGTGCCCTTTAATAAACATACACTTGCATAATAGTGACCTGTGTCTGCACGGGCAAGAGAAAGTGAAGAACCAATTAATGATCAGGGTGATGCAGTGATGGGTGGAAAAGACCAACTACAACTCAGTGAAGGAACACGGGCATTCCTCCCTCGCCCTCTTAAGGGCCTTCATTTTGCAACAGCCAGCTCTGTCCAGTCCACTGGACACTGCACAGGGATCAGCCCTGCTCCCCCAGGGATGGAGACTTCGAGAGGCTGGATGGTCTGTTGCTTTTCACTTCGAAACACATATGCCTGTGTACACGTGTTTGCATGGACGTGCAGATACAGTGATACACTTGGCCAGTGGATGAAGCGGCGCTGGTCCAGACTACATCTTCGAGAACCTGCAGCATGTCTACACCCACAGAACCCTAGAGAGGGGTTCTCCCTGGCCCTGCTACTTTACAGACAGGATCACTGAGGCCCCAAGATAGGGATGTTCCCAAGGTTGTGTAGCACATCCCGGGGGGGGGGGGGAGGGGGCGGCCTGGAAGCAAGTCAGGTCTCAAGGATGAGGCTTGTCTGCCCCCTGCCCCCACCACTGCACTTGCTGGAATCTCCCCCTCGGAGCACCCTTGGGGTCAGGTGCACATTGCAAGACAGAGGGCCAGGCCCAAAGGCACGGAGCCATCACAGTGGAGCCCCAGGCACCTGCAGCAGGTGAGTTGGTGAGCAACTTCGGGTGAGGGGGAGCTTTCTGGCACATCTCCTGTCACACTCTGAGGGGACAACTTAGCAGGGTGGGTCCCTCTCTTTCACCTCCTCTGTGACTTCAAGGGAGTGGGTGATTGGTTACTCTTGGTCCCCAGGAAGCCCTGAGGCCGGGAAACAGAGAAAGAGAAAGAAGGTAATAGAAACAGCCCCAAATAAGGCTTGACCACGCAGGTGCTGCGGATCTTTGGGAAGTGACTTTGGCCAGCTTGTCAGAGTGTCTACAATATGGATTTCGCCCCTCCCCTCCCTCTGCCCGCCCCTGACCCCCGCGCCCTACGTGGATGCCTGGGCCGGGGGTCCCCCTATTTGGGCTTCATCTCCACCCTGGAGTTGATGTCATCAGCATCCAGGTCATACTCCTCCACGTGGCCGCTGGTCCACACCTTCACGCGGTCTGTGAAGTCACTGCTGCGCGGGGCCAGGATGAAGTCGTAGATGAGCACGGCCAGGGCTCCCCCAATAAACGGCCCCACCCAGAAAATCTAGGAACAGAGCAGGCGTGCTCAGAGGGCATCTGACAGGGCCTGCTTCCCCAGGGACCCCCGCCTCACCACCCCATTGCATGGCTTCTCTCCCACCTGTGCCTGGGGCAGAGAAGGCAGCGCCCAACCCCAGCATCCCCATTGCAGTGCCTCCCACAACTGGCCCAAGCCAGTTGTAGTGGGCATCTCCTTGACTCTGTGTGGCTCAGCTCAGCGTGCCTGGGATGGTCAGACAGGCCCCTTCTCCAGGGTGGCCACCGCCCCACCCCTCCCCAGAAGTGAGAGGGCCCCAGAGACAGTCTGGGGTTGATAAAAAGGTGGCCTGGAACAGAAACATCAACAGTCCGAACAGCTAAATCCACTGGGCGCTTACTCTGTGCTCGCTCAGCTCACAGGTGGTGAAAGCCCTTTGTCCTGGGAGGAAGGCAGGCACTACCACACCCCTGCGTCACAGCTCAGGAAACCCAGGCACCAAGAGGTGCTGGGGTGACGTGGGGCAGGTCTGAGCTGGGAGGGGAGGCCTGGCCTACGCTGCCCGAGGGTGAGCCCCTGAGCCCCTTCATCTCAGGTCTCAGTTTCCCAGTTTCCTCCGCCCTGGCCATCTCCCAGAGCCTCTGTGATGGGAGAGGATGTGGCAGGGTGGGGGCGGGCCTCCCGCCCACCCCTACGGGGCAGCCCCGCAATCCCTTACCCAGTGGTCCTGGAAGTTGTGCGTGATCACCGCGGAGCCGAAGGACCGGGCAGGGTTAATACCGCACCCCGTGTAGTCGATCTGTGAGAGGGAAGGGTGGATGGGCAGAGGGCGGGGGAGAGACAAGAAACAGATGGAGAAGAAAGAGGGTGACATGGAGAGAGAGGAGAGAAGAAACAAGGTGACAATCAGACCCAGGAAGATGGCCAGGCAGTCCCTGTGCCTCCTTCTCCCAGGCAGCCGGCCCCCCACCCCAAGGAATGACCCCTGCCAGGCCCACTCACTACCCTTGCCAGGACTCCCCAACAGCCCCTGCCTGGCTAAGCCCTCCCCACCCCTACCTGGGCAGAACCCCTACTCACCGCCAGCAGGTGTCCCAGGGCCACAGACAAGCCGATGGCAAGGGGCCCTGAGCCCGAGAGGTCGCGGCGCCTCCGGTCGGTGGTGGCCAGCACGCACAGCACCAGCTGCAGGGTGCCGATGATCTCGATGCCCAGGCCCTGCCCCGAGTTCACGCCAGGGGCCAGCTGTGGGGGGAGGGGCGGCGAGGCTCAGTGGGCGGGGCAGAGGGGACTGTGTCCCAGGGCCCGCAGGCCCAGGCACCACGGCGCAGACCCTCAGGGCACTCACAGCCCATGTCACATCAGCCCCTGGCTAGGCCCTGCCCAAGCACGTACACCTGGTAGTGGCCATCACGGCTTGTCCCCTCCCCACTCTTGTTAACGAAGCACCAGCTCAGCCCCTGGTACCTGCCCAGACCCGCCTGGTACCTCCCGAGAGGCCAGAGGCCTGGGGTGAGGTGGGGCTTCCATGTCCAGCTACATCCAAACCAGGGACCCTGGGGGTATCGAGGCCATAGTCAAAGGGGGAGCCCCAGACATGAGAGGAACTGATCAGGAACTGAGGGACAGTCATAGAAGAAGAGAAGCAAATGGGTGGAAGGGCCTAGCTGGAGACATTGCTTCTTATCCCAAAAGTCTAGAATATTCCATCCCCATCCCCTTGGGAGGGTCTTCCTCAATTAGCTAGCCCCAGCTCCCTGTGTCCCTCTCTCCCTTGAACCCCCAACTTCCATCTCCTTCCCTACCTCTGTCTGTCTCTCCCCTGATCCAGTGTCTCTCGCCCATTTCCTCTGGGCCCTGCCCTCCCTATCTGCCCCCTCCCTCTCCCTCCTGGCCAGGCCCCCACCCTCTCTCTGGCTGCACAGGCCCCGCCACCACTGTCTGGCTCCCGCTTGCTCCTGGGCCACTTTTAGAAACATGACTCATGGAAAAAGAAGGGAATGGGAGCTGGCATGAAGTCACCGGAGCCCTCCCCTGCAGCAGCACCAGGGAGACCCCTCCCCAGGGAGCCCCTGACCACTCCCTGACATGGGGGTCCCAGGCCAGATGGGCCCACATAGGGGAGCTGGGCCACGCTGGCAAAGGCCCACTCATGAAAATGCCTGAATGTGCCCACGTAGGCTGCCTTCACTGAGGCAGGGCTGATATGTCCAAATAAGACTGAACTTGAATTCTCATCTTGGGCGGGGGTGGGGTGGGGGTGGGGGGTGTCTCCAAGGCCGCAGGACATTTTGCAGAATCCTAGGTGGGAGGCATTCCTCCACCATCCAGAGGTTTTCTCAGCCCCACCCTGGGGCCATCTTATAAGAACAATTCTCTTCCCGCCTTTGTCTGCGGCCCTGGGTCACAGGGAAAGTGACTCACATCCCCTCCCATGTGTTGCAGCCCCAGCTCTGGGCCTTTGCTGGCCGACCCCAGGGCTGCAGCCCCTCAGCTCAGGCAGCCCTCTGGACAATACCCAGTTTTCTTCCCACTCCAGTGTGGGGCCATGGATGCAGGAACCCTGAGTTCAGGTCCTGACTCTCCTACTTGCTGGCACTGTGACCATGGTCTTTCTCCTTTCCTGGTCCTCAGTTTCTCTATCTGTAAAATAGGTCTAATTTTCCCTGCCCACTCTCTAGAGCAGCCAGAGGTTCTAAGGCCATGGGACTGTCTTGGGGCATTTGGAAAGGGCTGCAGAGGCAAGAGGGATCAGGATAGTTGCTGTGGCTTTGTTCCAGTTCTTTCTCATCTTATCCCCAGGATGGGGGGACAGGCAGAAGGGGAGGGGCTCTGCTGCACAGGAGTGTGGAGATGGGAGTGAGGCCACTCGGAGCCGGGATAGGCTCCTTGGAGGCAAAGCTGAGGATGCCAGGCTGCTGGTACCAATGCCCATCACACTCACACCTGCCTCTACCCTCCATCCTCAGGAAGTTCAGGGCTTCTCCTCCCCCTCTCTCCTTTGCTCTCCAGGGTGGCCTAATTGCTAGCTGGCAGGAGTCCTGAAACCAGCCCTTCCACACTGGTTAATGGAGCCATCGCTCTAAGTGGCTCCTGCCTCACACTCCCAGTCCCCATCACACCCTTCTCACAGATGTGGCCCAGGCAAGCTCACCTCCTCCACTGGTTCTTAACCAGATCTGAGCATCCCAGTCCCTGTTCTGTGCAAAGGCACCACTTTTCATGAAAAATGAGGAGAGCAGGGGGCCTGGTGCCATGCCCACCACTCTGAGTCCTCAGGAAGTGACCACCTGCCCTGGGAACTCTAAGATATACTCCTTCTGGGCTGTCCAGAGCCTTAAGAACTTGACTGCCCAGAACCACATGGGTTAGCAAACTTTCTCTCCCCAAACCCATTACCACCAACACCACCACCACCACCACCACCAGCAGGAAGCCTCCCCTGATTGCTTCAGTGTCTATGACCACCTCTCCTTCAACTGCCAAAGCACTTGAGTTACTTACATCTGAAAAAAAAATTGATAATTCAAAATTGGAAGGCATAATTAAAGGTCTGTTGGAACTTGATGTCCAGAAAAGAGCAAATAAAAATTCAGACCATATGTTCCTGTTTACAACCTATTAAATTGAAGCAATTGCTTAAGTAGAGCTGATTCTAGTTACAGTCACTTCTTACTGAAAACAAACAAAAAAAATTGTACCCCCAGGTAGTTTTGCCCAGTGCAGGTCTTACATTTCACTGATGAAGGCTAAAAAAACCTTAATGATCAATTTTCTCAACACAAGTATAAACAATAGAAAAATCCACATATATGATCTAAATCATCAGAAAGATACAAACCCCATTTTTGTATCAAACCTGTTGAAGCCCACCCTCAAGGCCCATCAGCTTCAGGCAGATTTCTCACGTCTCAGATTTCTCACTGGCTAGAATTAACTTCCGCTGCCACTCCACCAGGCCCTCACTGAACTGCCTGCAGCTCTTGCATGGAAGTCACCTTCCTGCCTCCTGTGTGGATGCTTCAGACCTCTGGCCTGGGAGCTCAGTGAGGACAGAATGTGGAGACCTTCTCATCTCCCTGCCCAGACCTCCGAGGGGACCCTCACTGTGTGGTGACAGAAGTGGCCGATGATGCTAATTTTCTAGCACTTCCACCTGGCTTCAAGGAGGCTCTCTGGACCCAGGGCTGGTTCATTTGCTTCTAGCTGGGAGACCACAGGCCAGTCACTGGTCTCTGTGAGCCTTGTAGGGCAGCCTGTGCAAGGCTCTGTGAGATGACAGATTAGAGGCCCAAGGCCCAGGAAGGAGACAGCAAGGCCATGAGCCCTGCTCTGGGGTGTGTGCCATCATACTCACAGGCCAAGGCGCTGGCTACCTACAGGCCTGGCCACGGGTCCTAACTGTTGCCAGATTGGACTGAGGAGCTGGCAGAAGATGCTGTGCAGCTGCCAGCATGTCCCAGGCACCAGGGTGGCACAGGACTGACCTCTCCAGGCCATGGGCCTCCAACCACCCTCCCCTCTCTGCTGCCCAAGGGCAGGTTGACCAACATAGCTTCCAAGGCCCAGGGCCCCAACTTAGCCTGGGCACCCTGGGGTCCCACCCTTGGGAAGCAGCAGGCCCGAGAGCTGTCTGCAGCTCTGATGATCCACTCTCAAAGTACAGGGGAGAGAAGACATCGAGGCCGGCCCCACCCACTCACTGCCTCCCAGGGAAGGGGACTTCAGTGAGCCCCCCGTGTCACCCTCCATGAGTGTTCACGTGTGCACGTGCCTCTGGGGATCCACAGCTTTGTGTGCCTCTGTGTGTCTCTGTAGATCGGTATCTGCAGTATCTTTGGGTGACCATGTGTGTCCAGGTGTGACTCTTTCTTTTTCTTTTTCATTAGACATTAAGAAGTTTATTAGACAACAATCAAATGAAAAAGTCTGTCCAAGAGGTTTAAGTTCTCAACCTGTATGCAGTAAATAACATAGCCTAAAAATAAATGACACAAAAGTTGACAGAATTACAAAGAGAAAATGATCAATCTACTACCAGAACGAAAGGGTTTAAACAACCCTCTCTTAGAAGCTGATGGAACGAGCAGTCAAAAAAGAAAAGTTGCACAAACAGGGAGGATTTGAAACACACAATTAACAAGTTTGACTTAAGGAAAATCGGTAGGCCCTGCACCTCCAAATTTGAGGATATCCCCTCTTTTTCAGCCCCTATGGGGCATTCAGACAAACTAGTCATGTATTGGCCAGATGTATCTCAGCTCTCTCTGAGGACCCCTGTCACACAGGGTGCCGTCTCTTACGGAGGTACGCTCTGTGTATGTTGGGAGTGGGGGTCTCTGCATGGCCCTCGATGTCTGTGTTGTGTGTCTTATGGCATTTCTGAGTGTGTCACCCTGTCCCTGTGTGTTGCACTCCCACACACAGCCACCACTACTAGCTGGGGAGCAGGGAGGAGAAGGGAAGGTGGCCCCCGTGAGTAAGAGAGAAGCAGGTCTCAAAGGGCCCTTTATTTGCTCCCAGAAGCCTTTCCATCTCCCTGACAAGAAACAACACACAAAGCAATGGCTTCCTCCTTCCCTCCCTCCTTCTTTTCCTTACTCCAGGGCAGCCCCGCCCTCCTCCCAGGGGAATGAAAAGGGTCCATTGAGAAGCCCCCACGCCACCCTCCTAGGGTCCCAGAGCCTGAGAGGGACCACCCAGCTTTGAAAACGTGCTTCATGTGTGTGTGTCTGTGTGCTGTGTACCACTGTATGTGTGAGAGTGTGTGAGTGTGTGTGTGTGTGCGTGTGTGTACACGTGCTGGTGCAGCAAGAGTGCAAACACTTTGGAGCAGCAGAGACAATCAAGAGCTCGGAGGCAGGAGGCTAGGGGAGTGGTCCTGCCCCGCCACAATCTGCTGGAGAGCCTCAGCACGTCTCCACACCTCTTTGGGCCCTGGTTTCCCTATCAGTGAAATAGAGGCCTCAGCCCAGATTCTAGTCCCAGACCATCTCCAGATTCCTCCCTGCCTAACCTGGGACTCCTGCCCCCAAGATCCACATTAACCGCCCTGCCAGGACCCTAAGTGCAGGATTCCCACACGGCCATCTGAACCGCTGGTCTCAGCACGGCACAGAGCCTGTTACAGGACCTCCCGCCCACCTGTAACTGCCAGGTGCCCCAGAGCAGCCGGCTGCCGGACAGATCCTACTTGCTCACCCTTGATAATAGGCAGCTTATTGACTCCGAGGCAGCCCCTCTCCAATTAAAAAAAAAAAGTTCCTTTTTACACCGAGCAGACACCTGCCTCTCCGGGTGTCCTGACAGTGGCGTTTCAGCACTGAAAGAAGTGTTAAAGGGAATGCACATTTTCCAGCCTTTTCTTTGGTTTGGTTTGAGGTTTTCAGCCTCAGGATGTGCTCGCCCCCTGGACTGTGGCTCCCTGGTTGAATGAAGACAGCCCTTCACCTGTCCCCCTGGGCACCACTATGGGGAAAGAGCCCCTGGGGACCCTGGGGAGAGGCCCTGGCTGAGGGGACCATGACACTTTCCTGTCCTCACCTGCAGGTGTGCGGGCTCAGCCTACATCCATTCAGGAGACGTCAGACTCACGGGTGCTTCCAGAGGGCAGGGACTGCGGCCCCTACGGAGGCTCTCCCGGCAAGAAGGCTCCCTGTACCCCAGGAAAGCTTGCCCAAGACAGTCCCCAAGGAGGGGCAGGGGGCTTGTTTGACCTGCCTGGGGTAAGGTTAATGGAACACCTGCTGCGCGGGGCTCTAGGGAAAGAGGGGAGCACTGGGAGTCCTGTGCTCGGGTTGGGGGAGACTGCATGGGACTGGCCTGCAGTGAGCGAACGGCTCAACATGTGAGGGGAGGCTGTGACCTGGGGTGAGGGGTCGAGGCGAGTCCCCTCAGACTGAGGGACCCCAGTGGGCCATGTCCCTTCCCAGAGCATTGCTCCTTCAGATGAAGAAGGCTCCCAGGGTGAACGCTGGGGAGGGCCAGGTGCTAGGGTGGGCAATGTGGGGCTGGCAGGGCCGCTCTGAGGCCTCTAATGGGGGAAACAGCCTCAGAATTTTCCGTGGTAAGGGAAGTCTTCACCGCAAAGCTCCTGCCTCTCTCTGAGCCCTCCCCCTCATCTGGTTCTGGCTGGAAACAGTAATTATATGTCCCATCTGTGGCACCACCACCCAGCACCCAGCCCCCTTCCTGGGCAAAGCTGTTGGAAAACTCTGCCTTCCCTTTCCCCAGCCCACCCCCAGCTCCGGGGGGAGGTGGAGAGCCCTCAACCCTGGAGGAACTGGCCTCACCAGGAAGCAGGAGTTAGGGAACGAGCAGGGGCGCTTCTGCACTGTGGTTGGGGAAACCAAGGTCCGGGAAACTGAGGAAGTGGAAAGACTGGGGCTAAAGTCAGGCCCCGGATGAAGCAGGTAGCAGCAGTCCCCAGGGTCAGGCCCAGAATCAACGGGGCTGAGAAGAGACCCCCACATAAGAGGGGTGTGCACTCTGCCTGAGCCCTCTAAGGGGCTGACATCACAGGGTCTGAAACAGCCTGGCACCCAGCCCCTTCTAGGATGCAGGCAGACACTGGCCTGAGCCCTCGCCACTCTCCAGAACCCCAACCTCCCACCACGACCGCCAGTCAGCCGCACCCCACAACTCCCAGGCCACACCCTCATCTGCCTGGAAGCCCGTTCCCTCCCTGGGGTCTCCATACTCAGGCTCTTGTGGCACCTTCTCAACGAAGCCTTCCTGGCCCTCATCACAGCTCACAATCAGGAGTTCCCTGGCTTCCCTGACGCCCCTTATCACACCTGCCTCCTATCCCTTATCATGGACAGCTGTGCATGAGGCTTATCACACACGGGACCATGGGCTTCCCAGGGCAGGAAACCAGCCGATTCAGCCCCGCATTCAGCCTGCAGCAGTGACAGCCATATTTACAGGCAACGTAGTTGAGCGAGCCAGAGAGGGGAAGAGTGAAACCAGCCAGCAAATGGTCAGGATTCCCAGGTTCACGAGCATCTTCCACTTCCAGGAGCCCAGCCACACCTTGCTATGTCCCCATTCCACAGATGGGACCTAAGGCTACACAAGAGGTTCCTTGCATGAAGTCACACAGGGTATTAGCAGCTGAGCTAGGGCGTGGGCAGACCCGCACCAACTCCTGCCTCTGAATCTCTCACTCTAGGAATAAAATTAGAGTTTGGCTCTTAGAACCAGCCAGGATCCTGCAGGCAAGACAGAGGCCCATGGTCCCTCCGGGGCATATCCCAAGCCCTGACTCAGTGAGGAGAAAGTTGTCCCCACCATGTTCCCGGGGGACACCCCCTGACTCACCCCAACCACTTCCTGCCACTTCTTTCCCTATTTTTCTTGGAAATCTCCATGCCAACGACTGGCCCCACCCAGGTTTGGACCAGGGTGGGGCCCAGGACTCAAGGGGCTGCACACGGGAGCCTCCCCCAGAGCCGGGAGGAAAGAGTGTGTCACCTGCTGCGTACACTGATTTCTGTCCCTCGTGTGGCATTAAGGCCACCACCCAGGTCCCTTCAGATCCCAGGTCCAGTGTCTGCCGGGAGCCCTTGGGGGCGAGGGTTTTTCTCTGTTCTTCAGCCCAGGACTTGTGCTTCTAGGACCCCAAACTTCCGTGGTGTGGACAGGGCACTCCCTGGGCCCCCACCGCAGCACTCAGTGCCCTTATGTTCAGCATGGTCCCTCCTGGGCTCCTCTTAGCCAGATCCTCCTGGGACGAATGATAAACTCAAGTCCACAGAGTGTACTTGCTGGCAGTCCGGGTGTGGCCGAGAGATACCACGGGATCTAGGTCCCCTCTTGGAGCCTCAGGCTTCGCAGCTCCAAGGACCTTCAACAAGTTCGCAGCAGAACTGACTTGAACTCAGCTTGCCTGCTTCCCCAGCCAGGGCTGGGCCCCCACCAGGCCGCCCCTTTTCCTCCCCTGACTGCAACTCACCCAGCTTGGGTACTGGGGTGACTGAAAAATGGAGGCCAGAGAGGGGAAGGAACACTGAAACAGAATGTGGCCAGATCAAGATAGCACAGAGGTGCCCACCCTCCACATCTGCCTGGGGTGCCCATGTTGGAGGGCAAGTCCACCAGCGGATGCCTGTCCTGCCTGTCCCTTGAGAGGGAGGGTCAAGAGGGGGCCAGAAGCCCTGGGCAGAGCCAGCCCCTCCCCTAGGAGGATCCTGGCCCTGTGGTGGGCAATCCCTGAGGCCACTGGTTCTGCCGCCACCAGAGAGACTGAGGCCTGGAGGGACCCGGCCTGTCGGAGCTCTGTCCCTTGTACCCACCATGACCACATCATTCCTGACTAAAGTCTAAACTCCAGCCCTCAGGGCTAATCTTCAATCTTGAGCTGGGTGAGGTGTCACTGTGACATAAGAGGTGCTAATCCCTTCATGGCAAGGTCGTGCCAGCTGCCCTCTGCACCAGACCTTACAAGCTGTAGCCCCAGAAGCTGAACTTTGGCTGAGAAGCAAGAGGACATCGCTTCTCTAATCACCCACTGCTGTCTCTGTTGGGCAGTTGGCTGGCTCCCTTAGTGTCCCCACACCTGTCCCCCCTGCCCAGGCCCTCCCAGGGTAGACCTGGTCTGATCCTCTGTTCTTTGCCTCTCTTCCTTTCTCTGAAAACGCCACCCACCGGCACCACCACACCCCCTGGGTGCTCTGAGACACCCTCCAGGCCTCACTCAGCCTCTTAGGCCAAATTTCCCCCTGCTGTGGCCCAAGCCAGGTCTGAGTTTGCACTTGGCTGAGGGTCTGGAAAAGCCCAGGTCTGCGACAGCAGGCAACCCTGCCGACAGCCAATTAGCTGTGCTAAGCAGCCCAGGAGGAATTCTCTTCCGCCGCTGCCACCCAGTCGCCCACATCTGCTTATCATGAGTGCCCCCACGCGGGGCCCCATTCAAGCCAGGAGCAGTGGGCACACACAGGTACATGCTCACCCCACACATGCTTGCACGGCAGCACTAACAAGCTCACAGACACACTTCCAGAAATAGACACACACAGGAGTGCCCAGCTTCCACAGGCTCGGAGACCCATGCCGGCATCCACATGCACACAGCTGCTCACACACACAAACACACGCGCCACACCTCTCAGTCAGCCACGGAGAGTGGAGCCCAGACAGGCGGTGAGATGTCCCTGCCTGGCGCCCTCCACTGCTGTAATCCAGGAAAACCACCTGCAGAGTGTCCAGAAAGTGTTTTCACCCCCATCTTTGTCCCATTCCCGGGAGCAGAAGAGCAAGAGGAACTTTTTCCCTTGAAGGCAGTTTGTTTGGGGACCTGTATGAATGTGGGGCTGCCTGGAGACCTGAGTGGTCCCCCAGGAGCATCCGGCTCACTCAGTCCCAGATTGGCTGCAGGTACACCGGGCATGTGGAGCAAGGGGGCTGGGGACAGTGGGCAGAGGTCCCCCAGGGTCCGGGCTGCAGGGGGAAGGTGCTGCTGCATGGGCAGGGCTGAGGGGGCCAAGAAATCACAGCTGAGGGGTGAGGAACTGCTGGCCCAACTGCAAGCTGCCTCCAGGGCTTATTTCCCACAATAGAGGCCCGCAGGGGACATTGGCAAGACCATTATGCTCTGGGTCTCAGCTTCCCACAGTGCCTGGCAGAAAACAGGTTCTGGACTGCAGGCATAGCTGAGCTCCAGTCCCAGCTCTGCATGACCTCCAGCAACCTCTTGTCCTGTCTGTTCCTCAGTGTCCCTGTCTGCACAGTGGGTGGAGGATGAGACCAGTAACATCTCAACACCGTTCTAGAGGCCCCACCGCCCAAGGTCACCCCACTCACCGCATTGAGGCCAAGTGAGTTGCTGGGCAGGGAGGAGGTGATGCCCGAAAGGATGGCAGTGGCGACGATGGCCCCCACACACTGGGCAATGATGTACATGATCGCCCGGAAGACACTGATCTGGCAGCTGAGCAGGAGCCCCAGTGTGACCGCTGGGTTGAGGTGGGCGCCGCTGATGTGGCCCACGCTCTGGGCCAGTGTGGCGATGCTCAGCCCAAAGGCCAGTGACACCTTCACGTTATCCTGGACCGCACCTGCCGTCTGGTTGTTCTTCACCGGGTACTGGAAGCCCAGGGCAGTGCCAATGCTGATGAAGATGAAGAGGATCATGGCCAGGAACTCGGCCACCACCGCCCTCCAGAAGATTTTCTTCTTGAACTCGCTGGCCATGCTGGCAGGGGGCTTGGCTTGAGACCGCTGCCTGGTGTTTGCCTCCCTCCGAGAGCTGAGCCACAGCCTGGGCTGGGCCTATTT